CATGTGCAAGCACCCTTGCATCCCTTTTTGCACCTACATGAAACTAGTTTCAGAAGGTTGGATGGAGCTGGACTGCATGTTGTTGTCACTGGAACCAATCCTGCTGTGCTATTTGACCAACCCCACTCTGTGGGATCCTTTTCAATCCCTAACCATTTTTGCACTTGGTGGTATGCTCGAAATTAGTGGAAGGAAGCTGCATCTTGGGGGTGGGCAAGCGTGATAAGTTTACCTTAGCGCAGGCTGCTGCCTTTACAAACAGGCGGAACCGAAGGTTTTCGAATTCATCGTGGAATGTGTTGTCACCATACAAAGCAATTAGGTACTTTTCTCCAGCTTCCTAGGAGGAGTTTTTAGGGTGAGAATGGGGAAACCTATTTTAATCCCATAAAACCCCGTACCCTTTAGTACGATCATACTGGTTCATAACATTTGCTTTTAATTTAATCAAAATCGGATGAGTTTTACTCTAGTTCATGTGCTGATGGACATACACACACATTTACATAAACTTGAATGGAAGGCGTTTTGACCTCTGGGAATTTGAAGTTGAAAAAGTAAATCAGTCCTGGATGTGTATAAATAATGACATTTTTTTTACATCGAAATAAACAAAATTATAAGGTTTTAGCAAATTTCCTATATAGGGAATGATCTATTACCGTAGTACTCATGGTAAGACCTGGACCCGGGACCAATTTCAATACAGTACAAAATCAATAATATTCACCCTATAGATATAAATAGCAGATCAAAACACAGCTTATCTTTTGCCATTTTAACTTAACAAAGTCATTTTTCCATTTTAGTTTAAAACAAAATCCTGCAAGTGACGTCCTGTCCTTTTAATCAGTGAACAAGGTTGACACAACAGGAGGTCGTCTTTCAGGCTCTCGGAAAAGATGCTGCGGGAAAAAGTACATCAGCAATCAGCATGAGTCTTATTGATGTAGAACCTGTACTATTGTAGTTAAAATGCATCATATACATATTTGAAACAGCAAAAAAATTATATACCGTAGTAGTAGACGCAACGATTGTGTTCAAATCAAATCAAATAGTGTTTATTTCATATTGTACATAAATCAGTACATGGAATGGCGTCAAAAACTATATCTAAAACTTAACATAAAGAAAACAAGTATAATAGAAATAAAACACTAATTTAACATATTCTTATTTTTTACTTACTGATAGGAAGTAGCTATTACCATAGGTGGTACGGTAAGGCTTAGTGCCGAGACCGATATATTTTATCATTTTCTGCGGTGGTAATATTTACTGTAAGTTGTTTTTACACAAATTTATATTATATTTTTAAAAAATTTGCCAAAACATAGTAAAATTTTTTTATCTCTTAATAACTTACACATGTTGTAAAAACAATTAAGCTCGTTAAATGAAAAAATCGTGATATTCATAAATTATTTTTTGTATAGTTTTCAGAAAAGTGTTGGAGGTAGAGACATAGCTTTGTGATAAAACGAAAGCCAATAACATTTACTACAAAAGCAGTTATAAGAATTCTGCCATAATATGGGTATTACACAGTTTTTGTGGGTCCAACCCAGGAAAAATGTAAATTATGGTAATTACTTAAAAAATTTGTAATATTTGAAAAATCATTTCTCAAAAACTATTTGACACACAAAAATGAAACTATGCTTAAATTGTTGGAAATTTTATGTACTTTAATTATTTCATTTGAGTAGTATTAAGAAAAATGCACTGTTAATAAGTTATAAACCAAAAACTTTTAAAAATACATTAATTTTGTAATATTTTACTTTTTACGCAGGGAGCACAGGGATATCGAAGCTGCAAACTTGGTTTTGAGTTACCCTAACGGGTCCCAACAACATATTAAAAATGCAGCAATACATCACGCTTTGCGATTTTAGCCTCTTTTTATGTACGATTTGACTGGCCTAAAAGGTAATTTAAAGATACCAATAAAAAAATAAATTGTTTGATACCGAACTGAGCTTTTAGTTGTATACCTGAGAAGTGCACCACATCTTAAAATGTATCGGTTAAAAACAAAATGTACCATTATTTTCTGGAGGTAAGTAGTGTTGTTAAAAACACTAGCAATAGGAAACGTTTATTTAGTTATTTATTAATCCATTGCTTATGACAATTATTATTGCATTGTGTAGCATAAATGTTCTAATATTTACAGTACAAAAGATTACATAGAGGATACATTTTTATCAAATGACACTGTATATAAAAGTTATATAAAAGAAACGGAAGAAAACTACAAAACATTGTACATTTATCAGCAAAGCCTTAAAACATTTAACTCTAACCCCTAGGGAATGTACTGTACTGTGCCCAACGGTGCGGTGCGCAGTGTACTCATCAACCCTTGACTTATCAAGTCACGGGTGGGCAGTGTACTCATCAACCCTTGACTTATCAAGTCACGGGTGCGCAGTGTACTCATCAACCCTTGACTTATCAAGTCACGGGTGCGCAGTGTACTCATCAACCCTTGACTTATCAAGTCACGGGTGGGCAGTGTACTCATCAACCCTTGACTTATCAAGTCACGCTTCAGTTTGGTTTTGAATGGATGGGAACTTTCCAGACTTTTAAGCCTTTTAGGAAGACAGTTAAGGAGCCTCACCTACTTTAGAAAGAAGTTTCTCAAATGCAGCTGTTCAGTGTTAGATATTGCGAAAACTATTTTAACGTATAAAACTATTTTACCGTATAAAATTACTATCCGTGGCAATAATACTATAATCTGAAACAAGTGCATGTACAAGCAAATGTTTTCAGGCCGAGGACTTTTTCCTTTTTTTGTTGATACGGGATATTTGGCCACGAGAAATCAATTGGAGTTGGTCACAAAGGCTGGGGAAAATCCAGTTACTGCCCTACAGCCCTTGAAAGTGCCCATTGTTATTGTCAATACCTTTGTGTAGCTGAAGTTAACAAAAATAGCTGATACAGATTATCTTACTGTCATCATTTTGATTTACGAGTAAACAAAAATAACTGTACTGGTTAGTTTGGACTAAACGATGGAATAGTTTAGTTTTTAAAGAATAGTTATATTCAGTTAGGTTTACATACATATTACTGTTAAATGTTTTCAAGGTTAATTTACAAGATTAAGAATGAAACGTTGAAGACCTCCGAAAGGGAGAGAAGCTATACAATCAATCCTCAGGAAAGTTAGCGGATCACATCCTCGTAAGCGGATTTGGAACCGTTTGACGTGTCATGAATGCACACAACGTGTGTCCAAACCGATCCGCGGTCAGAGGATAGTTCTTTCTGATCCAGAAATCAGGAATTCACACAGACATTTAAACAAATCGAATAGTACACAAAACACAAACGCTGTACCTTAGTCTCCAATAGGATCTTTTTTCATTACAAGGCATTGCTTGAAATTGATCTCAACTGTAATATCAACATCTGCTTATTTTGTTTTTACTTTTTAAGGTAACGCCCTAGTGGAAGAGATCAATATATATCAATACAAAAATTGTATATTGATACGTATTGATACGTATGTGTATTTGGGCCAATACACATCAATACACATCAATACATATCAATACAAGTAAATATAGGATCCGAGTCATTAGCTTAATTGAAAATAATTTGTAGCTTGTTAAAAAACAATTTTTAATTTGTTTCAACACATTGAATCACATCTACTATGCACTAAAAATAAAATAAAAATGAAAAAGTAAAAAATTCTTGTCAAATAGCTCTTGGTGCTCCCGTGATTTGAACCTGGGACTCCAGCATGGTAGCCGGCTGTCTAAGCCATTACGCCACGGACGCTTCATGATTGGCTGAGTAATGATAGCCACCTTGAATGCGAGAGGCTGTGTTAGGCCTCATAATTAAACTTAAAGATTTTTCAATGGCATTTGTGTCATTTCAAGCATGTACCTATGCATGTAATTATGCTTTAACATGTTTCATAACTGTTTTATTACCAGTTCAAACTGTTTTCTTGCTACTTGGGTGATGTGAATAGTGTCAATACAATTTATTTTTATTGATTTCTAGAAAAAAGGAATTCAATGATGAATTTGTGAGTGATTTTTATCCCTAACAATAACCCATTAAGAAAGAAATTGTTAAAAGTTGTCGAAAGCTGTATTACAATTGTTGTATAACAATTTTAAAACATTTTGATTTAAACTTCATATTACAACAATGTTGATATAAGATTGAAACAATTTAAAAAATGTTTAACAATAAGTTTTTTGCAGTTGAAAAAAATAAGTTTCAATACGAGCTGTAACTGTTTTACAACAATTTTAAAATTGTTTTACGATCAGTTTTTTGAAGTTTAAAAAAATTTGTTTTAATACAAGTTGTAAACTGTTTTACAACAATTTTAAAATTGTTTAGCAATCAGTTTTTGGCAGTTTAAAAAATAAGATTTAATACAGGTTGTAACTGTTTTACAACAATTTTAAAAAGATATATTTTTAAATTATATTGAGTTTTAGGTACCTCAGCTAACGTCTATGACCTAAAACTAGAGTTTTTCCTTTTTTCAAAAAATAACATTTTTATTACGGTACTGTTTATTTAACCACTTTACATTGATATTTTGTATAATCCATAATGCTCATATGTGATACATTTTAGAGATATTTTGAATTTTATTTACCCGTATTGATGTCTATTGATTTATATTTACATCTAACATATTAAAAAAATATTCTCTATTGATATCAATGAACGATTTGTTTGCTCTAATGATCTTTATTGATATATTTTATGTTTATAGATGTCTAGTGATATGTATTGACTAAGTTTTCAGTGATGTCTATTTGTTTGTATTTACTTGTAATGATATCCATGAACATCTATTGATATCACTAAGCATCTAGTGATATCAATAGATTTTTTCTATTGATTTCTATTGATGTCTTCCACTAGGGGGAATATAAGTAATATATTAATATAGTAGTGTTTGAAGAATACTGTTGGTTTAACTGTTTTAATCCATTCCTCAGATACCCGGGAGACACGATGGGTTGGTTCTGGAACGGGAAGTGCTCCAGCAAGGTTCGGCTGGAAGGCAAGACAGCAGTGATCACCGGATGTAACACCGGCATCGGCAAATACACAGTCCTCGATCTCTACCTGCGAGGTCGGTATCTACATATGCAGAACAGGCAGTTATTATTGAAGAAGTCATTATATTGTTCTATCTAACGATGGAAAGTTTGATAGATTGCTCTTTTGAGAGTCTGAACTTCTAATGAGGTCAATTTGTTGACTACAGTATTGATAGAATATTCAACTAGTTAGTTCTAAGAAATACTATATATTCTGAGCGTAAAAGTTCATTAATAGTAGTGATAAACTTTGTGTGATTTTGTTACGTTTATATTTAATAGTTATTATGTTTATATTTAATAGTTATATTTAAAGTTGGAAAAATATATTCCAACTTTTGTAACAACTGTAATTCTTGCTTGTTATTCATTAAGGTTATAAATTTAATACACATAAATGTCAGAGCATCAGACCATTCCAAACTTGCAATGGGTATAAAACATAGCTGGCTAACAAGTCTTGCCAGAAACTCCAAATTTCATTTATTTTTTGTTTTGTTCACAAAATTTAGGCGGTTTGAGGGGAAGTTTTTTAACCACTTTGGTCAGCTTAATGTATGTTGCAGCTCATTGAAGTTTTGACAAGTCTCAGCTGTTGAGCGATTTTTATGGTAGGATCAAGACGTGGAGAAAATAGATTTCTTCCCCTAAAACCGCCTAAATTTTATGAATTGAGTAATTAAAAACACTGGCTTGGACAAATCATTTGAGAGTTATCTTGAATAAAATGGAGCTTTAAGGAGATTGGGTGCTGCTGGAGTCTCTGCGAGGTTTCAAGGAGATCTCAGTATACAACTATTGTCTTACTTCCAGGTGCTCGGGTGGTGATGGCGTGTAGGGACGTGTCAAAGGCAGAGACAGCTCGTGAGTGGGTGCTGCAACAGTCTAAAGACAAAGAAGGTGCCGGGGAGATCTCAGTTTGCCATCTGGACCTCTCGTCCCTCAACTCCGTGAGGCAATGTGCTCAGAAGATACTGGACGAAGAAAAGAACATTCACCTCCTCATTAACAATGCAGGTTATACATGACTTGCTTCTGGCTTGCCCCCCAGGCCTCCTTTTATGGTGGGGGATGATGAGACACAGATGGTGGGGGACTTGGAGGACATGATATGTCCAGGAACCCTTTTCCTGTGTTAAAAACGAATAATAACTTGGCAGATGAAAAGCATACTCTTGTAGGGTTATTTCAATGGAATAGTAAAGATTTCTTGACAGTTAAAGGTCCTGATATGGGGTTGGAGCAATGAAAATTTAAATTTATTGAAAGCGATCCTTATAAGATTAAGTGTAGCAATAAAATGGCAATAATAAGAGTAAGAGTGATGTAACACTATTGTAGGTCCTATTATTATGCCCTTTCCGGGGATAAAGGGGGGGAGATTGAAATCTTCGGGACAAAGATTGGGCTCATATATATATATAAGTATATAGTAAAAAACTACCTATATAATTTCATTTTGTAAATTTTGTTATAAACACGATAATTATTTCCAATTATCCCACTATTGTAAGAGATGAGGAGGGGTAGGTTCTTAAATTTTGAATTTTTGGGGGGTTAAAATGAAGAAATAATGCCTTTTTGGGAGCTTTCTGGGTGGTTTTGGACAAAGACCTACATTCGTCAGAAATTTCAGATCCTTTGCTCTTCTAGAAGTGTGTTAGAATTTGTATACCTGATGAGTCAGTGAGTGAGTTACACATATGGCTGTATGTTTAATCAGATAGTGAAATCATTATGATGCACACCTTATAAAAAGCTTATCACTTCATCTGAATTTGTCGAACTATTGTGCTCCCAAATTTTTTTATTGAAAGACCTTCATCCAAGCAGCTGATAAATGCTTGCAGTCTTTCAAATAATTTCTCCTAGGGAAGGTGATTTACTCTTACCAGATTACCAAGAGTTATCCTTCTTCACAGTCAAAGAGCAGACAATCTGCTGTTTCCTCTGACCTACCACATGTCTTACAAAGGGGTACGCCATCATGCAAACCCATACCTACGTTACAGATGATTTCTGAATCGGCCATGTCCCGTAATCAGTTCTACTGTTTGTCTAATTCTTTGCCTAACTGCCTCAAAAAGTCCAAAGCAACCCGTTTTGAAAATGTGTGAAGAGTGAGCAGACCCATCTTATGTGTGTTACAAGCGTTTTTGGTTTTTGGCAAATGACTAGGAACTTCTGTGATGTTGATGTTAGCTTAAGTGGCTTTTTATACTCCTTGCATCATGAAGTATACTGTTGCAGGAGTGATGATGTGTCCTCGCAGTGTGACAGAAGATGGATACGAGTTGCAATTCGCCACCAACCATCTCGGCCACTTCCTCTTCACGTTGATCCTGCTCCCAAAGATAATCAGTTCAGCGCCTGCTAGGATAGTGAACGTCGCATCCATGGCGCATATTTTGTGTATGTTGTGATTTTTTTAACTCTTGAGAGTAGTTGGGAGTAAGATGAAAAGTATCTCTCACAGCTTTAATCCTAATAAAAAGCGTATCAAAGTCTGTTGCTAACCTAGTTGTTAGCATTTTGGGTCTTCAGTGCGAGTAGTGCAGGTATAATCTGCCTAATCATCATTCAAAATAGTAAATCATTAAAATTGTAAAAATAGAGGACAAATATATTTAACACACATTCTACCTATTTTGCTTTTTGATATTTATTTACAACTTAATTTGTATTTACTTTTTTTATTTTTATTACATTATTTTTATTACAGCTTTATAGAGAATTGTATTAATAATAAATAGAATTCTATTGCAACATATAATACCAAAGATATTATTTTTCAGGTCGCTCAATGTATTTTGATGATATAAACATGGAGAACTGTGGGTTCTACACCCCACAGAAATCTTATGCAAGAAGTAAAATGGCAAACATCCTATTTACAAGAGAGCTGGCCAGGCGGTTGAAAGGTATCAATAAAATTAATAGCTTTGACTGGATACACTGCACGTGAAGTAGACATTTCACCCATAAGTAGCCAGTTTTAGATCTATATAATTAATACGCTACATGAAACTTTGTCGGTTGAACTCCTCCGCCATTTCTTAACCGATTTTATCCATTGACGTCTCATTGGAAAGAGCGTGTCACGTAGATTTGCAAACTGATCTTACATTTTTGAAAAAACCTCTTGGGCTCTGCCCCGGTGACTGTTAAAGTTCCCATCTTATCCTTATGAAGAACATAATTGTTTACATTTTGATCAGCTGTATAATGTAATTGCTTTTATTTATTTTTTAATTCAACGAAACGCGTTGAGCGAAACGGCACACGGAAGATTTCTCAGGTGCCGTTTGATGTCACTAACTGCTGACGTCACTTTGAGGGAACACCAATACCGCAACGACAGGGCCGGGGATAGCAGCTAGTATGAATTTATCTTATTACATAATTGAGTGAACATTTAAAAACGTACGTTTTCAGGAAAAGCACTTTGCAAATTTGTTTCGCCTTTTTTCAAAACTTTTATTATTATTTTTATTTTATTAACATTTTAAGTTTCATAAAATGTCCATGGTAACGCAATATCTTTGCTAATTTTTTTTTAAAAGAGCATCTTTAGTGGAAAAACACAAAATCCTGTCACGACCATAAAAGACGTTTAAACGAATATTAAAAATAGTTAATATTATTTTTATAACTATGTTTTGCTATAAACTAACTTACTTTTATGACCATTATACAATAAAAAGGTCACTGAGCTTTTGGCATATTTGGTCTTTCTAGAAAAAAATAAAAAAACTCTAAAAATTGAAAAAAAACCCAATAAAATCTTTTTAAGTTTGTATAACTCCGAAAAAAAAACTTACCTGAGACCCGAAAAATCGTTATGTTTGTATAGAGGTGTGCTTCTTTTGTGTATAAAACATTGAAATATGACAATATTTTAATTTTTGAAATTTTTATGATAGAAATCATAAACGTGATGGTCAGGGACAAGCGGTACGGTCGTGAATTTTCTGAAATAATCTAAATCTTTCTTAACAATCCTTCAATTATACTGTTAGTTATAATAAAAATATGTGTTTCAATTGAACTAAACTGTTCAATTTATAATTATATTAAAGTTATTGTCACAACCAAACACACTATAATCCATAAGGCTGGATTGGTCGTGAAAAAACCCACGATGGTCGTGAAATTACGTGTTATTTGGCTCTGTTCTGGCGGTAGCCCTGCACCTCATGTTTGAAGATACAAAGTGGACTTCTAGATTAATCTAGCAATTGAAATATCTTATAAACAAAAATTAACACCATGTCTACTTCATCAAATGACTTCGTACGGTCATGGACACACCAAAATTACAAAAAACACAATCTTTCCTTTATTAATCTTGTAATTCCTCCTTTCAACTCGAAACGACCGGCACTACAATCCTGACGTACACCCCGAACTAGTCTCTAAAACCAACTGACTCCATCGACGCCAGGCTTGCCACTGTCGTGCTCCAAAGTAGAACATTTTTCCCAAATGGTCGTGACGCTAAATCGAGGGACAGACTTATTTTGTCATAGTAGTCAGTTTGCAATGACAATAAAATTATAATATGCTCCTTTTTTGTAAGTTTAATAACCATTGATGACATAAAAATATGGCTTTATATATTTTGGCATGAATAATTAGTCTACAAACAGCGTGAAAGTTTGAAAATGTACCCTAGGGACACGTCATGGTCGTGAATTTCGAGACTTTAAAAATACGAAAAAAAATACCTAGAACCTATTTAAAACCAAATAAATGTGTGTAACATGTTGCCCCCGTCCCAAAAAATATTAAAACACAAAATAATAAACTACAAATCCAGTATCTACGAAGTAAAAGGCCAGGGACATGAAAACGTACGTTTTTAAATTTTCACTCAATTCAGCCCCCCTAAGGCCCGTGGTTCGCATGAGATGCGCTATGCGACCCTCCCCCCCTTCTTTGCGGGCAAAACTTTTCTCTTCCTTGCTCTTCCGAGTCCCAACAAATCTAAAACCTCTTGTTAAAGCAGCCCTGCTCATAGATGATTTGGTAATGTGGGAGGGTCGGGTACGATCCCCAAAAAGTCTACAAAAAGCTTGAAGTTTGACGGGCTTAAACCGCTTTCTCTTACAAGTGTTTAGGTAGTTTTCATACAAAATGCTATTGCAAAATGGCTTAGTGTGGTTTAGATACTAAAAAATTGTGTTATTAATAATTTCAGAAATAATCTAAAGAGTTTGACGTTTTATCAACAGTGTTTGAACTGTTCCCTAACATCTCTCACAAAACACGTCTATGATGTCTGAATACACAGACTGTGTTCAACATTTGATAAACAATGAAATCTGAATGATTACTTGACACAAAATTTATAACAGAAATCTAGTTGTTTTTGTGAGAAAATTTTATCAGTCCAAAGATACTTCCAGATACAGTAAACTCCGGATCTGTTCTAGACACTGGTGTGACCGCGTACAGTCTCCATCCCGGAGTGGTGGATACGGAGCTCAGCAGACATTTGGACAAGACTATTTTTCCCGGAGCCAGGTGGTTTTTCCATAACTTCGGAGGAATGTTTATGAAGAGCCCACTACAAGGAGCTCAGACAACTTTGTATTGTGCCTTAGAGGAGTCACTCGCTCAAGAGTCTGGCCTGTACTACGAGTAAGTACATTGTTGAAAGATTTCACAGTTCATTGTTTAAAGATTTTGCGAGTCCCATGCCTCATTTTAAATTTAAGTTTCCTAAAAGTTTCACACTCGCTTAGCTTAGTCAAGAGGAATTGAAAGTTTTACTAACAGTTAGTGATCGATTTGTAAAAATTGAGGGGCAGAACTTTAATACGTTTAATACTTTTCTTTGTAATGGCGACCATACAAAGTGGGTATTTTAAGCCGTATCCTATTTAACGTGGTTGTACCTATTTATACCACATACAAAAAGGTAATCATACCACAAGGTATATACTGTATTTATACCACATACAGTACAAAAGAGGAGGTACTGGAACTCCGATCCGCCGAGTTCACCACAAATCGAAAACACTGTTAACAGTCCATTGTTGAAAAGGTTTAGTGATAATTATTTCTCAAAGGAGCTATCGACAGTTCATTATTTAAAAAACCATTGACCATTGTTTAAGTTCTTGATTGCTGAAGTCTGTTGAAAAATGTATCACAGCAGTTCATTGTTGAAATATTTGTCAAGAGTTAGTCTCAAGATTTATTGACAGTTAGTTTATTATTTATTTTGGTACTTTGTGACATATTGTTGAACGATTATATGGAACAGTTATTATTATTTTTCTTTTTTAGTTTTTAATCACATTTCATTGGTTGGAAATCTTTTAAAATGTTGTTTTGGGATTTATTGGCAGTGCATTGTTCAACAGTTCTATGGGGACTTCTTCTGAATGTATTGAAGATGTACAATATATAACTCAAGGACCTATTCACTCTTCCTCCACCCATATGTTCCATTTTTTTATGATTTTTAATAGTTATTTGTTTAACTAGTGAGCAAAGTGGCACTTTGCTGCACACGAGAGCAGAAATGGCGGAATGATCTTGAGTGCAGCAAAGGCCTTTTGCACTCGTGTTACACATTATCTTTTCCTACAGTCACTATAAAGCATATAAATAATTAGTCTTTTAAACACTATACAACACGTTTTTAGGTTCAGCTGGCAACACAAATAGGTGCCCTAGAGAAAGTAGTCCCCGGTCCGTATCACTCCGCTATTTTTTCCTCGGCAAGCAAAATAATGTGCTCCGCGACTTGAGAAAATAGTTCCGTATATATTGTAATTTGCAGTGGTTTCCGCGCCTAAAAAAATGCTTTCAAGGTATTTTCTTGTTTATTAAGATTGTAGGAATGTTTTAAAAACGTTTAAAAGAAAAGTCCAGATAGTTTAGAAATACCGAAATAAGAAATAAACTATTAACACGTAATGACAGGTTAAATCGTAGTTATAATAGTCAATCAGCTGCTCATAGTATTATTATCTTGAAGTGTTGCCAACCTATTTCCAAGCGTACACGGATTACGTGCATAATAGGACCACGCTGTTTTGTGTTGTTTTGTTGGAATCTTGATGTGCGCCTAAGTATAAACCGTACGACAAAGTATAAATATGCAGCAATTAGCAGCTTTCTGTACTATAAACAGTACAAGGAAGCCAACTTTGTCGGGTGACTGTAGAAAAAGACATTTGTGATTGAACAAAATCAACCAAGAAAACTACGGATCTCCTACCTGTCGCAAAACCCCTTAGATTTTTTTTTTGTCCTAGGACGAGTAATGTGAAAAACGAGCCTGGGATTGTTTTTCACATTACTTCAGGCTAGACCTAGGGGTTGCGGCATTATCACTTGGATAAAATCCATTGGTGACTTGGCGGGGATCGAACCCGGGACCTCAGGGACTGAAGTCCCGCGCTCTAACCACTACGCCAGCTCGCTCCCCTTAGATGGATCATAGATTTGTTTTAATTGAAACAACAATATAATAAAGGTGCAAAATAATACTTGTTACTTGTGAAAGTTTTGTTTACTTATTCTCTATAGAAAAACTCTTTTCCACAGTGACTGCCAAGTAGCCAAGACCACGTCCATGGGAAGAGACGATGAACTTGCAAAGAAGTTGTGGGACGTCAGCTTGGATATGGTCAAGTATTCTCCTCCTCCACCCTTTGGAAAATCTGCCTAAACAAAGAGACATCTGGAGTATAAACGTCATTTTGTGTGGGACCATTCAAATTCTGAATGAATAATAGACCCTAATAAACTGTATAGGGGTTTAATTTACCAGTTTAATTTGATGAAGCAGAACATGGGTTTGATATTTAAAACCAGCCAGATGTGATGGTGTAATTAAAAATATATAGTTTAGATTTTTATCATCTGTTTAAAACTTGCCTTTAGAGTAGTTGATGGCCTTATACACGGCCGCCTTTAACTCCAGGCTGCGGCCTTCGAAGTGGCAACGTCGCAAGTGGTGTTGTAACAGCTGTTTTGTTTGGAAGCAGCTAATGGTATTTGTGTATTTACGAAAGATTGGTTACTGGACTATGACAATATTGACTCCGCTTAAAAATGTACAGATATAGATTTTTAATTCATATTGTTTTGGTTTTCAATTCTGCATGTTTTATTTTCAATATTTTAATAAATTTATCTTCATAAATTTAAATTTAAATCAATAAAGTGCGAATTAATGAGCTGATGTCACCTGTCTGCCATGTTATCTTATGGGACGTCTGTCACTAAACAACACCACTTGCGACGTTGCCAATTCTACCAGGCTGTGGCCTGTAGTTACAGTAGGCCGTGCCTTATACCAGCTGATACCATACGTTTGGATTTTGCAGTGTTTTAGATTAACATGTGTTTATTTATTTCAAAACTCAATAACAAAGATTAATTCAAATAAAAGTCCATACTGCATACTATTTTCGTTTGGCTCAGGAGGGTCGAAATTACATATTTTCTTCTACCTGTATACAAAAGTACAAGTTAAGCATATTGTTTCAGTTAGCATCCAAACATAAAAATATCTATAGCTAAGTGGCATGTGTCAATTCAAATGATTTATTACCGTTAAAACATTTAATTTTTTGCTCAGATCGTATTGTTTTGTAGTTGTTCATTTGTAAACGTCACCAACAAAGGCACCTGAAATGAACGCTTATGTGTCAAGTAAGACAGACACATTGGAAACATTAACTTAATAAACAAATCACGGTAGTAGTAAAGTAGGTTGTTCTGCTTCTAACATGCTAAACTGTGTTTTAGATGAACCTGTAGCTTACAACCACTGACATACGTACATAGATAATATTTTACAGACTATTTATTTAGATAGCTCAGTTTTAAAAATTGTTTTTATATTTAGCTTTTATCTCTTAGTATTATATTGTTATTAATTTGAAGAGTTTACTTAATCCTGATTCCTTTTTATTGTATAGTGCAAAGTTAATACTAAGTAATAATAACCTAGACTGCTCCATATTTGAAATTATGCTATAGGACACTATTGAAAAATGAAGTGCTCTTTGTCTTAACCATTGGAAAATTAAATTTTATACCTCAGAGTAATAATACATAAACTTCTAGAATTTGTTAAGGCATTCATTTTCCACCTATCTCTGATGATTTGGAGTAACAATCATGATTGTAATTAAAAATAAATAACCACTATTCTAGTCGTAGACATGATTTAACAATTTATATTATAGTATTAAGTGTTGATTACAAGAACCATCTTTAGAAGTTTTATACATGTTACATAACAATAAAGTGATTTAAAAAATGTGTTATTATGATTAGGAACTTATTGTCCTGCAAAATAAAACTCTCGGTATCCAATTTAAAATATTAAAATACCCCCGCCGCAGCAAACCTGCAGACTAAGCGAATTTCCATTAGCCTGATGGATTTTGGTGTACCTGGATTTACACCAAAATGCCTCCTTAAAAATATCATATTTATTCCCTAGTTATTTGAATAGAATTAGTTTAACGAGTACTTAGGTTTGCTGCAACAGGGAGGGTAAAAAGGTGGGTTTTTTATGATAATAGTTTAGTAAGAAATTAATGTATTTTCCAAATTCGATCAAAATATGTTCATAAACAAGCAAACTTATTCTCCATAAGAATAACATGGGGATTTTAAATTTACAGTTTTTTGGAATTTTCTCCGTAACCATTAGGCGCACAATAACGCTTCAATATACTAAATTATTTGTTTCTTTATGCTCTACAAAATGGTGTGAAAATAAATTGTAAAATTTTGTGTTTTAGGGTCAAAAATGGGAAAAACCTATTTTTACCCCATAAAAACCCCCATAAACCCCCGTTCCCATAGTCTGATCATGCTGGTTCGCAAACTCGTTCGAATAAATGTAGGTTTACACGTTTGTACCAAATTTCATCAATATCGGATCATTTTTGCTCGAGTTATCGTGCTAACGGACATATATAAATATATTTATATTATATATATATATGAATTTGAACGGATGGTGTTTTTGGCCTCTAGGGACCTCAAAACGAAAAAATAAATCGGTCCTGGGTCCAGGTCTTACCATGAGTACTACGGTAATAGCTTATTCCCTATATGGGAAATTCGCTAAAAAGAAACATAGTGGCACTAACACCTCGAGGGAGCCTAAAAATATTTTTGGGCTCCAATACAAGATGCTATAAGCTATACAAGCTTATGAAATAATACCCTACAGCAGCAAACCTGCAAAGACTAAGCAAATTCCCAATTAGACTTTCACTCAAATATTTCCTAAAAATTGTCAGATTTATACCTTATTAGCAGAGTACCCGTCCTTCGTACGGGGTTTGTGTATAAGTATAAAATGCTTATTGCAGGTAAACTCGTGCTTTGCGTTAGCAATGGGAGAGGACACGGTTTTAGAAAATTTTGTTCTTTTAATTTACAGTATGCTATAGCATTGACTATATAACCACAACAGTTGTGGTTATATAGTCAATGGCTATAGTATCCGGTTTTTTTATATAAGATTCAAATTCATCATCTACCAAAGCCATAATGTTCTACTGCACCTAAACAATAAATAAAAGTGAAATCCTCATTTTTCACAGCTTTTTGTTGCTCATTTGTTCAAACTAGATAGAGTAATAAAATAATAATAAAAAAAATAGTGCTGCACCCTGTTGGCAAACCTTATAATTTGTTAATTATATTTAATATCATAGAACCAACTTGTGTAGTTGAAACAGCTTTTTTCACTTTTTTAATTTACAACCTGTTCAAAAGTTGAACAATAAGCAAATGAAATAACAATCTATCTATCTATCTATATATTAATAGGCAAGCATGTTTCTTTAAAACCTTTTTTCTCAGCTCGTGTGCATCGTAGGGAAAATCTACGCATACCGTTGGAAAGCTATTTTCCTGTAGGTGTGCAGAATCCCTTTATAAATTTAAATAGGCTCAAAGATAAGCACAAAAAATAAGTTTAAAAGTTGTAAAAAATTAACATGGATCTTATGCGTTGCTATGCTGGTTACGAAATAACAACGAAATATAAACAGAAAATCAAAACAAATGGAGGAAACTCCAATCACATGTTTTATTTACAGTGTGGGGTGAAAATAGTTAAGTGAGTACATTACATATTTTTGGTCGAGTTTCGACCACTGGACGACCTCTCGTACTTATTTAATACGCAAGCAGGTTTTTTGTGACAATTACTCCTCCGAAACTACTGAACCAATTGACATGTTTTTGGTGTCATTGAAAAGAGCGTAACGTGAAATTGTGCAGGAAACTTTCTTTTTAGGGAAATAATTAGAGAGTGAGGCCCTGGGGCCCTTTAAAGTTTTGTATTTATCCATAAGATTAACATGGGAAACAAAATTTGTTATGGAACTCCAGCTGTTGTCAGAAATTAAAAGTGAAATATTTATTGATGGTATCTATGGTAACAAAGAACAAACCCACAAAATTTAAAAATGTAAACAAGCAGAACTAACTGTTAAATTAATTTTGATTTCACAATTCCACACAGCTGGTCCAAACATATTAAATACTGCATGATTATTAGAACAGGAACGGTATGGATCATAAACATAAATGAAATATGTCACTCGCCCGATTGTAAACATTTAACATTGATTAAATGGAACTGCCAAACTATATGTTAATGTCATTAGTATGGGATTCTTTCAGTTACGTCATTTGTTGACCGAGTCTGTCCAATATTTTTGAGCTGCTGTAATAATATTTTACAGGAAATAATTGTTAGATAAACTCATGGATATAAGTAATAATTCAGATTGTACAATCATTGCTGTTATTAAAATTGTGTATCTGCAGCAAACCAATATTTCCATTTACCTGGTTTAATTTCTACAAACATAGGCCTATTCCCTGAAAGTGGTCATTTTTCCCATTTAAATAACATTAAGTTAATTTTAATATGAGTTCCTAGGTTTGCTGCTACAGGGAAGGTAGGTGTGTTTTTGTTGAAACGTGGATAGCTTAGTATGATTGTTGTTGGTTTGCAAATCCTAATTGCTCGAATTCGAGCAGCATGTACACTAGTCTATACTTATTTAATACGCAAGCAGGTTTTTTGTGACAATTACTCCTCTGAAACTACTGAACCGATTGACATGTTTTTGGTGTCATTGGAAAGAGCGTAACGTGAAGTTGTGCAGGAAACTTTCTTTTTAGGAAAATAATTAGAGAGTGAGGCCCTGGGGCCCTTTAAAGTTTTGTATTCCTCCATAAGATTAACATGGGAAACAAACATTGTTATGAAACTCCAGCTGTTTTCAGAAATTAAAAGTGAGAAGAACATATGTCAATTGTAAAATTGTGACAGAGAGGTTATGCAGAAAATCAGGTGGTTATTTGGTGCTATTAAAATAAAGACTGAAATTTGCAAACCTACTGGTGACAATGAGTGATACCATGCAGACTAAATTATCATTGACAAAGACCAACATGGACAACCTATTGCGGCTATAAGTGGGAAACATTTCTACAATACACTAAAAGCCAGATCAGCTTTTGGAAATGATAAAATATTTACAAGAAATGTTGATTATATTGAACTGTTAAGTATGTTGTGAGTATTATCATTAGTTACGTAATCTTTGAGTTGACTCTTTTAAACTCATCGGAATTTATGACTTATATTTGTTCTTAAATAAGTTATTTGTTTTTAAATAACTTATTTGCGATTGCTCGATTTCGAGCAACATGTACACTAGTACTTATTTAATACGCAAGCAGGTTTTTTGTGACAATTACTCCTCCGAAACTACTGAACCGATTGACATGTTTTTGGTGTCATTGTAAAGAGCGTAACGTGAAGTTGTGCAGGAAACTTTCTTTTTAGGGAAATAATTAGAGAGTCAGGCCCTGGGGCCCTTCAAAGTTTCGTATTTCTCCATAAGGATAACATGGGAGATAATTTTTATTTACAGAAACATATGTTTGTTAGGGTACTTGAAAATAGTCAAAGTCTACTACATAATAATAATTGCTGTGAATTATGACTGTTAATGTATACTACACTAGCTGTAACCCGCGGGCTTTGCCCCGTTTAACTTCTTAATTTTCAAGATGATCTCGTTTGCATGGCTCAATCACGTCCTGGTTGAAGTTCGTTCGCTACGCTCACCCACCTTTAGGTTGGAGCTCGTTCGCTGCGCTCACTTTCCTTCAGGTTAGCTCGTTCGCTACGCTCACTTGCCTTCAGGTTAGCTCGTTCGCTACGCTCACTCGCCTCCAGGTTGAAGTTCGTTCGCTACGCTCACTCACCTTTTGGTTGCAAATTTGCTGTTGTCATAAATGTAAAAGAAATAATAGTGCTGCACCCTGTTGGTAATCCTTGTAACTTTAATGCTATTGAACATCATAGAACAGAACCAACTTGTTTAATTGAAACAGCTGTTAAGATTCATTAATTCCATTTCTCATAAGGTTAACATGGGAAACTCCAGAGCCACTGGGGCGGAGCCCGGAAGGATTTTTGGGATAAAAAATATGCCTATATGTTAATCGGGAATATGAGCTATCATCATGCGGAATTTCAGACCGATCCGACCAGTATTTTTTGCGTTCACTTGTCACAAACATACATCCATACATCTAAACTTTCACATTTATAATATTAGTAAGATTTCAATCAAGGATTGTTTACCTTAAAGTTTACCCATAATGGATCTTAATACTTTATTTTAATGCTGGGAATAGTAAAATTTAATTGAGAATAAGTTACCATGATTTAGAAAACTTTACTATAATAATTTATGTATTTAAAATCACAAATCTTTTATATTTATTATTAATTCATTAGAAACGAAACAGCTGATCGTCAAATCAAACAAATTATCTACTTCATGTGAATAATGTTGTTACACAAACATGATAGTTTTTTATCAATAACTTGATTCTTTTTTTAATTGTGGGTGTATTTTGAGTTTGCAGTTATGAAAGCACCAAGTCAAGTAGCTTTTATCTAATTTTCTTTATAAACTAACAGTATTAATGAATTACTACATGAACTTGACAGGTTAGGTAATTAATTGTCAGTAGGCTATGCCAAGGGGAAGAAGAGTGGGTCCTCGAAAAAAGACGAAGGTGGAGACACCAATCTAGAAAATCCAACAGAGTTTTTAAATATAGAGGTCAGTGGATTGCCAAGACACAGATTAGACTAATAATAAAAGGTATTTATCGGGAATATTAATACATCAAAAAGGGCCTCATTAATGGCACAAGGCTTCATGTGATCGGAATTGTTAACAACTTAATAGAATTTAAAGTCTTAACT